AAACTGATTGAGATGAAATGGATAAAAAACTAAAGCAGTGAATAATGATGACGGGGGCTTGATTTGGATCGCGTTCAGCCGAAGGAACCAAGTAACATCAGCTATTGTCAACTTTAACTGGATAATTTAGTGTTTTACAAGAGAACACTTGTTCGGATTCCTTTGAAAAGTGTAAGTATTTTGCCTCGCACCATGCAGAGAATTCACTGAAATGTGCACAAAAATTCGTACAACCGTTTTCATGTAAAAAATTAAATTGCCCAGTTAAATTTGGCAATAGCTTGTGCGGCTTGGTTCCTTTCTGCTTCACGCGGTCCACTTATAACCGCGGAACGTATGGATGGCATTTAGCAAAAAGTTTCCAGCGCGATTACAATGTTTTCAAAATCAGGCAACTTCCTCTTTCCTTTTGAAAATACTCAATGCATGCACAGTATTAAAATTTACACAATCATCTACCTTTAAAATTACCAATTCTTTGGTAAGAAGCGAAAACTATTTGCTACTCCGAGAGATGTTTTAGATAATTATGAAGAAACATCGTTTTTTACAACACTTCAATCCCGATGGTTCCTTCTTTCTAAATGCGATCCATATGTAACCTTTTTTTTTTAAACGCCGACCTCCTTCAAATTATAGAGTATGCAACCCGCAAATGTGCTGTAACCACCAGCACCTCGGACCCCTGAACGCTAATCCGAGGCTGGCAAAACGCGTTTAACTCACAACATCTAATGATCGGGGTCCAGGTCGGACAATTACTTCCCTCTCATAATGCGCCATAAAAATGATATTCTCTTCTTTATGCACGTACAGGCCTCATAACTGACGCAATTTAATTCCGAGAACGGCCAAAGTTTTCGCACCATAAAGCAAGTGTTGTAATTAGATAAATTCTGAAGAGAGGGCGGGGGAGGGGGGGGGCACAGGGCGTAGCTTGCCTCGACATTCCCTTTGAAATCCCCTTTGCTCTTTCCTGGCGAGGACTCGCCAGCGGTGGCGTGGCGTGCTTTGCGAGATATCGATTGTTACGCCATGCAAACCTGTGGAAAAGGATCGATAAACAGGGTGTTCACAGCGGACACCTTATTAATCGACTCTTTACCATACGTTTAAATGGCATAACAATCGATACATCGCAATTCACGCCACGCCACTGCTCGCCGGAGAAACTTTGAAACTCATTTTAACTCGAGGCACGGGAAGTTCAAAAACTCAATTTTCAATTGCAGCGAGAGGCGGAAGGCGCATTGCACACTTTGTTCTCATTATTCGTCGTTGATTATTATAAGGCAGAGAGGAGAAGACGGTGAGATCTGTTAGATGATGCATCTTGCGCACACGGAAAAAACCATTGCTGGATTTAAGAATATGCTCGGTTATTGCTAATTGCTATCGCTAATTGCTAAAATTACCAGTCAATCTAACAGACTGAATGGGATTTGGAAGGGTGTGTGGAACTTGAAACTCGAGTGAGCTGTGCGAAACTAGGCCAAAAAGGAAAAGCGCACGTACTCGTAAAAACAGATGATATATGGAGTTCTTACGAAGGCGGGGGATTTGTGTTTTAAACAACTATTCTTATGTAGATTTCCGCGAGAAACACGATTGTGCTGCCGGGCTGCTGTTCCTGTCTAAAATATTCTCTCAGAATCAGAGGCAGCTCACAAATTCCAGATTAAAATGGCGGTGTAACACAAGCTACTGGCATGTCTCTGTAAGGCTGTGTCAAAAGAAAGGCCGTGGGATCATTCGATGGTTGTCAAATGTTGTCCACTTGAACATTCTGAGAAGGAAAATCTTGAAGGTATTATGAATCCATTTCTAAAAAAGAGTCGATTTTAGGCAAGGCATCAGTGGCGTGGCGTGATTTGCGATATATCGATTGTTCTGCCATTTAAACCTTCAGTAAAGAATCGATCATGAAGGTGTTCGCTGCGAACACCCTGTTTAACGATCCTTTTCCATAGGTTTACATGGCATAACCATCGATACATGGCAAAGTACGCCACGCCACTGTAAGACATGGAAGCTCTCGGCAACCTGGCAAAAGAAACTTTCGCAGTTAGTCGTAGCGCTCGACTTCTCTATCCTGGAAAAGAAAAAGACCGTATGAACTTTCAAATGTTGCCATATTTTATCCGATAAAACGTCAAAGAGGAAAATCTCAAACTACGTATCTCGTTTGCGGTGTTTTAAAATCTCCGCTTCAATTTGCTCTTTTAAACGAGAGCAAATCAACGGCTTTCCTTGGAGTTTTCTTGGACTTTTCTTTTGCAGAGAGAAGAAAATAACGCAAGTTTTTAAAAATTGACGTTCAGCATCTCTAAATTTGCAAAATCAAGTCTATGACAAGGAGTCTGCAGTGTCGCAAATCTAGAGTAACTGAAAGTGCTGAAAGAGCTGACTTCACAGTATTTTTTATACTTTTTTCTGATTTGGAAAATAGTATGAAAACAGATTTAAAAGTGAGAGAATGCACCGCCTAGTGACGTCATCTGACGGCATTTCCAATTTAAACACTCGTATTTTAGCAGATAAGATAATTGTGTCATATCCCCTCCAATAATTGTTCGATTCATGAACCAAGGGTATCTTCGTGTTCAGTTCACTCAGTAGTTCCCTCTCAAACACGAAATTCACCAAATTTTAGACACCTGCAAATTCTCTCTTCTCAGAAAATCATCCGCTAAATACTCACAGATTTTCCAGAAAATCCGTAAGTTTAAAAAAGAAATCAGGCATCGCCCGAAAGTACTTACGCGGTTTTTCTGTACTACGGCAGCGCTCGCTCTGATATTTTCGCCGAGCGCGGAATCCAATCTCCGGCGGCGTGGCGGGTCCGTTCCCACCCCCTCTACTTCTACCCCTCATCCCCTTCTCCCGCCACCCTCCCCCTCATCCCCCCGCGCGCATGCATAAATTTCATACTCAACGACAAGCAACTACTCGCAACTTTGCGACGGGACATGCCGCCTTCGCCTCGGTCGACAAACACTCCACCTCCAAAGAGGGACTCCTCGACAACACTCGACACAGCTCCGAGAATTTTCTACATGAGTCCACATGAATTTTCGCGGAATATTAAAATAAAAAGAAACAACCCTCGTGTTCATTGAAGCGACACTTTTGACGCGAGGCCCGCCCTCAAACTGTATCGGCTTAAATGCTCAGTGTATACACTGAAAAAAAAAATATCGGTGTATTTACTAAGAAAAGGGTAAAATTACCAAGAATTCAGGGTTCTATTTGATCCCAGTTTTTTCTTGGTAAAATTACCATTAATGGAATTGGTAATTTTACCGAGAAATCTCGGTAAAATTATTGAACTTTCTCGGTAATTTTACTGGACCTTGGTAAAAACGCCACTATTTTTTACCGACTGTGGTAGAATTACCGAAATAAAACGGCAAAGTTACCGGGAATTGATTACCAATAAACGTGGTATTCTTACCTGAAAAAAACAGTAAAAATACCGGTTTTTAGGTAAGCTTACCGGTCTGTCTTGGTAAAATTACCAATAATTGGTAAAAAAAGTGAGATGGTAAAGGTACCAACGGATCTTGGTAAAAAGGCCGAGAATTTTTTTTCAGTGTATCAGCGTGCCTTTATTCCTCTGTGCAAAAGCTATGTTTTTAAGGGGGGGGGGGGAAATGTCCTTTCCCAAGTGCCTGTGATCACGATAAATAGCGATTTTATCGGTTGGTTATCGCCATTATATCGGTGGCAATATATCGAGATATTATCGCATAAAAACTTGCGATACAAGGCGATTAAATCGTTACACATCGCAATTTTTGGTTCGATAAAATCGCGATCAATTTTCGTCGATGAAATCGAGATGAAATCGCCATTTACCGCATTTTTTCCCCGAAAATATCGAAATATGTAATATATCCCGATTTCAGCCATTGAAAAATGCTACTTGAGTTAACAAGAATTTTAAAAATGTAAGAATAAAAACAAACGGTGGCAGAGTCTAGCCTTTTCCGAATGTGTGATTATGAGGAAAATGAGTATGTTATACAAAACGGATAAAACCACATGTGTAGACTGTTAAAAATGATGAATCATCGTGAGAAAATCAAATTGAACACATCATCTGCGGGCGATGGTTGAAACTGATAGGAACAGTTATGGACAAAGAAGACAAAGGGAAAATTGAGCAATCCTATTGGTTGAAATGGATGGTTATTATAGACTAAAGGAGAAAACGTTATATTAATTAAAGTCTTTATGAGTTGCCGTTGCCTAGTCTATTACTTACATTTTGTACATTGCAACCATTCGCTTTCATCAACGAATTGTTCCATTCCCTCTTTATCTCTTTTGTCTATAGCTTTGTCTATTAACGTCAATAATCAGGCGGATGTCCTCTCTTTTCAGCTTTCATCACAGAGTTTCATGTTGCCACTTACTTTCACCTTGCTCCATTTTCTCTTTATCTCCTTTGTCTATAGCTTTGTCTATGAATGTCAATAACCAGACGGATGTCCTCTCTTCTCAATTTTCATCACAGAGTTTCATTCTGCCACTTACTCGTAACGGCGGCTTGTCACACGCTGTTGTGAGCACAGCTCCATGAATTGGAGTAACCGAAACGCCTTCAATCTTTTCACACGCAACACGCGCGTCCATAGAGTACGAATAATTGTATCTTGTATCAAGGCGTTATCGCCAACCTCAATTGGACGTATTTCTGTCAAAAGGAACTGTGTGCATTATGATGTGAGCCCTGATATCCATAAGAATATATGCATAACAGGGCTCACGTCATAATGCACATAGTTCCGTTTGACAAAAATACGTCCAATTACCAGTGACTAACAAAAAGTGTCCGTGGACGAGGTGAATTTGATGAAGCGCGATAACGACCCCCAGATGTTTACGTTCAGGAGAAAATTCCAGACATCTCAGCGGATTTGTGCGCAAATTCACCATACAAATTCCTGTTTTCAATTTTATTGAGGCTCTTTAGATTTTTAAAATGTGCAACTCACCGTCATTATTCCAAATTGATTTGTAAACACTTCACAGTTTTTGTCCGACGGAAGGATTTTCACTCCTGCGACAAAAATAGAGGGAGATAGTTAGTTTGACTTCGGTTGAAAGAACTCTTTCCAGTCGGGGAGGACAATTTTTAAATAAACAACATAGTTAGGAATTTTCTATTATTTAATTGATACCTACTTGACCGTCCTCAGAGAAGGACATGACTTTGTAAGTTTCAATATTGCAAAATTTCCTCATGCAATTTTTATCTTAACTAGGACACCGTTGAAAGCCTCTGATTTGAAAGTATTATATAATTCGAATCTAATGCCTATTGCATTGCAAAATCAGCAATATTTCGGACAGAAATCGCTCAGTCATCTTCTTGTAAATATTGAATCATATTAGTCCATTTTGCAGCCTTGAAATGTCGTTACGTGCTCACGTCTAAGGAACGACGATTCAGTTCTGTTGTTTCCCAAGGACCACTACAATGGTTTTGACCCTGATAACACTTTTTGTGCACGAGTAGTACGTGAGGTATTCAAAAAAGTTGATATTCGTCTCTGCCTCTCTGTAGAGTCCAATTTCCCATCGAAGAATTCTAACAGTGGCCCATTCACAGGATTTTCTATTAAATTAAATAACCGTAAAATGACTTTATGAGACCTGGCCCGATTCGGGTAACCCACCGATCCCTTCAATAAGGGCAATCAACCCCCCCTGTCCTTGAGTTATACGACCCTTTCTTTTTATCGAGGGCAATAATTTCTCATCGAGTGTGCTCATTGGACTAGAGTCCACGCTTTTGGGACATTCGATAGAATTATGGCCGAATTCTTCCATTTAAGCGTTCAGGATGGAAGAAAGTCTGAAAGGGACTTTCGGAAGTTAAAGACAATGAAATAAAAATGAAAAGAGGAAAGAGAAAGAATAGAGGAAAGAGGAAGAATAGAGAAAAAAGAAGAAGAAAAATAAGAAGAACAATTATTTTCGCTCTGTTTTTGTGCTCTCGTCTCTCCTTCACGGTGCCCAACGCCCGACTTTTCCAGTATTTTTTTGAAGTTATGGTTGCTTATTTTAAAACGTAGTCACAATTGCCTTGGTAATTTGCACCTGGAATCCGGCCAATTAACCAGGGTGATTTCCATTGGTGGATGGCTATTTACCAGCCTGGAGGCACTGGAAATTGACTTTCCTCACCGGAACCAAGGTTGCCAGGCTCTGCTATTAATTTAGATAGTTTAAATGGATTTTAATGAGGAATAGTGCTGATTTTTTAGTACAATCTGGCAACAACTCAGGAGCCGACCGCGCCCCGATCAAGGGCAACAATCGGCGCCGGACCTGTGGCCACGGGCGTCCGTCCGTAATTTGCGCAATCGAGTGCAACCGTGTTGCCAACAAAAGCGAGGCGTGAATGATCGAATATCGATATTTCCCCATTTAAAGCTATGGCAAAGAATCGATTATTGAGGTATCCATTGCGGACACCCTGTTAATCGAGCATTTTTCATGCGTTTAAATGACAGATCAATCGATACATCGCAGAAGATAGCACGCCGCACTGTCTCGGTCCGCACTTTCACCGAATTTCAGCCCCGACCTTGTGCCTGCGGTTTCAGGCCTTGTTTCGCCGAAATCTAAGTTGCCAGTTTCGGCGGAAGTGTATTAAAGGAAGTGATCGATAATGGCAATCGTCCCATTGTAGAATTCCGAGATATTTCAATATTGTTAAGGCCTTGTTTCGCCTAAGTTCAGGTTGTCAATTTCAGTGGCAGTGGATAAATGAGAGGGGAATCGATAATGGCAACTATCGGTCCCACTCTCGAATTCCGAGACATTTCAATACTCTGATAACGATGTGTATTTTCCCGATATACTTGAAAAATTTTTAGTCGAAAAATTTTTCCGCTTTGATATAGATGCTCAAACTTGGATTTGAAGACTAACATCGGTGCAAATTTGTGATTTTCAGTATTATGCATTGGATTTCGCACCAGATCCGAAGGGCTTTAGACCAGAGTAACTATACAAGAAGAGGACGAAGTTAGGTCATTGAGTTGTTAGGGCCCAAAAGGGCAGCCAACTATTGAATGAAATTCAACTATAGGTTCATTTATTATTGTACAGTTGGACTTATTTCTGTTAAACGGAACTATGTGCATTACGGCGTGAGCCCTGTTATGCATATATTCTCATGGGTCTCAGGGCTCATGTCTTAATGCACATAGTTCCGTTTGACAGAAATACGTCCAAATGATGTTCACTTATAGACGAACCTTAGGTCTGTAACGCGGATACGCCACTTGGAACGAAAGCGCTGTGCAAAGGATAAGATCGGAGAAAAACATTACATAATAATGGAGCGCCCTCCGGGAGAACACCTCTTGAATTTTAACACCTGTGGCATAGAACCGAGCACAGAAGTTTCATAATCAACAGGCAAGTTCGGCGAGCCAAGTTGACTGTTCCATCACCTCGCTCATCCCGTCTCGCGAAGACATCGGAACGAAACTGAGCCGGAAAGGACCGGTGGAGGGGGAGGGTGGCAGGGCAAGGGGGCGTGTCAAGACATAAACAAGCGTCGTTTTAAGGGGCTCAGGGGCTTAGTAGCTCCCTTGTCAACGCCTAATGAACGCCACCGCGACGTGACGCGCCTGATGATCTGCGTTGCCATTTTGAGTATCGGCTCGTTTGGTTCAGCTGGGGAATTCCGATTTTTGATCAAGTTACGGCAACATTGCCATCGGCTTCGCTATTTTGGAGGTGGTTTTAACCTTTTTAACGCACTGACGCGACCGGCCGATCGGAGACAATACATTTCGGAACCCCGCACTAACAATCTAAACAATAGCTGCCGAGCTGAGGAAAAACGCCGTATGAACCTTCTGACGTTGCCTAATTTACTTTGACAAAACACGGATTCCCTGGATAACTTTTGAATGATTGCCTTCCAATTTTTCAGCTAATTTTGTTCGCAATTTCACCTAAATTTCCTGAAAATTCCAAGGAAAAATACCGATAACGGTCTTAAAAAATAAACATTTTATCGAAGGGAATTGGGCAACTCTCGAATGTTTACACGGCGTTCTTCTGTAGCATGGCAGTATAGGTTCGACACCAAGAAAATACGACTTTTCAACGACTTGAGCGCGCACCGTGGTTTACGCGCAATGCACGAAGTATCCTGGAGACTTGTAAGGCGCTACTATTACGCGCAATGCATGAAGTATCCTGTGGTCTTGTGAGGCGCTACTATGCGTCTAGCGCCGTACCACGGCGCTAAACATTTATCCATTGATAAAACGCGAATATTCTGGTAAACTTATGAATAGTTGCCTCCTAATTTTTCAGATAATTTAGTTAGCAATTTCAACTACGGATTCTGAAAATTTAAAGGAAATATTCATAACCCTCCTTAAAAATAAGCATTTTATGGAAGGAAATTTAGCAACTCGAGAATGTTCATACGGCGTTTGTCCTTAGCACGGCAATGTAATACTGCCGTGCCAAGGAGGGACGGCGTATGATCATTCGAGAGTTGCCAAATTTCCCCGGATTAAACATTTATTTTTGACAAAATTTATGTATATATTTCCTTGAAATCTTCAGATATTTTAGATTACATTGCGAGGAAAGTTGTCGGAAAAGTTGGAGAGAAAATATTTACAATTTCCCCAATAAATTCGTATATTATCAGAGGGAATTTGGCAACGCCTGGAGGTTCATACGGCGTCTTTCCATAGCATGACAGAATAGTGGCAGTGCGGGAATGGATATGTTGCATGTGAGAGGAATTTGCGATTTGACTATTGATTCTAATGTAAATGTTCGCGAGAAACACGATGGTGCCTCTGGTTTCCTCTGAAATCAACTCCCAAGCTCAAAAAAGATCTCAAGTTGAGGCCAAAATGGAGGGGATATCCCACGCTATCCTGAGAGTCCACCTCTACATCAAGACAAACTCTCCATGCGAAGATAGGGAGCAAACACATTGACAGAGCTGCCACTTCATTTGGGGACTCTAAAACTGAAAACACGGCAACCCTTGTAATGTATTTTATCCCTATCTTTGCATGGAAAGTTTGTCTTGAAGTAGAGGTGGAATCTCAGGATAGCGTGGGATATCCCCTCCATTTTGGCCTCAACTTGAGAGCTTTTTGAGCTAAGGAGTTGATTTCAGAGAAAACCAGTGGCACCATCGTGTTTCTCGCGAACTTTTACATTAGAATCAACAGTCAAATCGTAAATTCCTCACACATGCATCATCTTCATTCCGATTCATTCCTTTCGATGATGTCGGCAATGATGTCTTGAATTCTTGATACAAGTGGGTATTCACACTTTATGGACGCGCGTGTTGTATATGAAAAAGTTGAAGGCGCTTCGGTTATTCTGATCCACGAACCAATGCACGCAGAAAGTGATGAACGTCGGGTTCAGTGCTTTGCCAGGCAAATGTTCCCAAACTAGGTTAGGATTCCTAAAATGACTCAAGTTTTGAGGCATAAAGGTCTCGATAGACGATAAAATTCCCGAACCAATTACCAACAAAGTGTCGGGAGTCATCAGTCTTAAACTCATGAATTGGCTTAGTTTTAAAATGAAAACTTGGCAGAAATGCTTTCTGAGGCAGGAAATGATGAATGGTGGCACTCTATTCTGATCTTACACTGAAAAAAATGGTATGCTGTTTTAGCACCTGGGATGTCAAAAATGTGTCTGGTGATCCTTAGATGGTGCCTTGATTGCCCACGCAGTTGAATTTGCATTCCAAGGATGTAAAATTAACTGCGGGGGCAGTAAAGGCAGCATCTTGGGATCGCCAGACACATTTTTGACATCCCAGGTGCTCAAACAACATATTATTTTTTTCAGTGTACTTTGTACAAAATAGTGCGGCCCGTCAAAATTTGATGGTAGATGGTGACCACCATGTGCATCAGCATGTCTACTTTGATCGGAATTGGTTCGGAATTTGATCGTCTATCCAGGGCTTTAGGTATCATGAGGCGAATCTGAGCGTTGACTTCCCGGCGTCAACACAACTTTCATACAAAGGGATGATGA